AAGTATTTTGGAGTCGACATGTGATAATGATGATCTCCATAGTGATGGCCAACAAAGTACGAACCAAACCTASAAGAATAATTGACGAAAATAAAGAATGTCTACAAAGATGTACATGAAAAAAAAAAAACTAAAGAAAAAAAATCTAAATTGACAGAACGTTGTTGTTACCTGTCAGAAAAGTGAAGATGGTTGGGTAATCCTGACGATGACTTAGTTAAAATAGGATTATCAACATACTTCTGATCTTTAGTAGGAATGCGGAACCGTCCTAGCTGGATCTCTGTATCACTAAGCCCACCATGAGATATTCTTGCGTATCCAAGCCGAGTAACACCTCGATACATGATGTACTCACACCACCTGTCACGGTCAGTTTCATCAATGTCCTATAAACAGCGAGTGCAACAGTTCAACACTTGGGCTATAGAATACCCGCCCACTCATTTACCTTCACCTTAGTTCACTGTACCTGCGATCGGCAGTGAACATTAGATTTTCTAGAGTGTTTTGTACGACTGCAGACACTAACGACCGGCGGTACAATAAATTATATATTACAGCTAAGAATATATGTCTCGATTTCAAACGACTGGAGGCACTTCCGACCGCCGGTACAATAAATTATATATTACAGCTAAGAATATATGTCTCGATTTTAAACGACTGGAGTCACCACCTACCGCCGGTACAATAAATTATATATTACAGCTAAGAATATATGTCTCGATTTCAAACGACTGGAGGCATAACCGACCGCCGGTACAATTATATCACACCTATGAATATAAGTCTAGTCCTGAAACGACTGGAGGACCTATAAGTGGACGGGTATTCCATAGTCGCTCATGCAACACTTGTAATGGGCCATTTTTAAATTGAATACCAAACTTCTTTACTAATATTAACCTTAACTCGGCCATGACGAAGAAGTGTTTGATAGTCTCGACTTCCAGGAGCAGATGTTACATAACCTAGAAAAACCACTGGATTTGAACTGTAAAAATAAATCGTTTTTTGAATTAGAAGAGTAAGTTTGTATTTCTGAATGAAGCTAAGCTAATTTATCGTGTACGAAACCTGTGTGTACGTGAGCCCCCTTATTGACTGACGGGGTTATCCCCCTTGGTATATTCTGCAACTATTTAGTGGATCGGAGCAGATTTCCATTTGACTCTTTTATCCACTAAAAATGATTTGTCAAATATACTTCCGATGAAAAMACCCACCTGTTATTCATTATATTGGCCAGCTCCATAGCTTGCAATTTACGATCTAAATCATCCCTAAAAAGTTTTACAATTAAAAATTGTGATACATCTAGTCATTATGCAGCTAAGACAGCTATTCACTACATTTCAAATTACCCGGAGATAGGGTCACCCTACTAGGAGGGTCACCCTACAGGGGTGGATCCAGCATTTCATAACGAGGGTGCTTTTGTCAGTAATAGACAGCTAAAAACTAAGTACAGCACATGGAATTGATCATGATTTTTGTTAGAGTGCAAGCAATATATCCGTGCAACACTAAATTAAAATAGTGAAAATTTAGTAAAATTTAGTGAAAAATAGTCGAAGCGTAAATGTACTACATTTAGTGTGCACGTGCAATTTAGTTGAGAAGTGCACGTGCGTTTATGCACACGTCTTCCTCGGAGCTCAACTAGCCAGCTACACTTATCAGCTACACTTAACTGCTTATAACCGTTACAAATGCTCTGGAATTAGAACCAAAGTCTCATGCTTAAAAGGTACGTATCTCACAAACTTTTCCGTAGAAGCGATAAACTCCTTTTGCGGTTTATTTTGAGCATCAAGCAAAGATATATGAAAGGGCGCTGTTGGTTCTTGTCAAGTACGTCAAATAACGCTGAGCTTTGAGCGATAAAATTCGTTCGAAAACACGTTGTTCACAGATATTTTTCGAGTCTTTACATTAAAAGTGCGTCTTGTCTTGATTTTTAGCTTAGACATTTACAATAAATTCGTTAGAAAGCACGTTCATTTGTGTACTGGGTCTTGATATTGGTTATTTTTACTTTAACCTAACGTTTTAATGTTAACTTTAAAAAGTCTTCTGTCTTCTGTCTTGATTTTGCTGCGAAGCTGAGAATAAAGACTCTTAAACGCGTTTTCTTGCGTATTGTGTGGTTATTTTAGCTTTAGACGTGTCTTGTGTCATGATTTTGCAGCAGCGCAAATAAATAAAGATTCTTAAACGCGTTTTCTTGGGGCGTTGCTATTTTGCGAGCCTGCGAGCCCGAGCCTCTAAATGCGAGCCTCGAGCCTATTTTGCGAGCCTTCTTCAAAATAACCAAAAAAACATTAATTTCTTTATTTTGTTCCTGTTGTTATATTGTAGAATTTCACTACAGTCATGTACTTTGGTGCATGCTGACTGATTTAACATTGATTTTTGTTGAAAAACCAACTTAGTTGCCTTAGGGAGACAATGTTGTTTCTCTTTCACGTAGATAATTAGGAACGCCCAGGCTAATTAGAAATCAGACGACTTTTGAGCATCTGACGGTTTATTGTAGAGAGACGAGATAGAATTGAAGTAAAACATCCAACTCTTTTCCGTATTTCGTTTTTCAATTTTAAGTATGATAGAAGTAAAGTGTGAATTGAGATGTTCTTATCATTGCGGCCATTCGACGGCTGCTATAAAAACTAGCACGCGATTGTATCGGGAAAAAAATATCTAGGACAACTAAAATTGCAGAGAAAAAAGCAGGGGGAACTGAATAGTTGAGTATTCAAAATATTTTGATTTTTTACTACGAGGCTTTTATTCGTGCGTTGTAAGACATAATCCCGTATAATATATGTTTAACCTGAGTATCAGACCTTAGATGGCGTTAGAGACTGATCTTGGCCGAAGGTGCTAACGGCACAGACAACGTACTTCACGAGATCTCACTACTTGGAAGTGATCCCATGAGCTAAAATTTAAAAACGTTTGAATTTAGAAAGAGAAGTATCACGGCTAATTTAGGCTAAAGTTCACATCTCAGCACTAGACTTGCTTTCGAAACAAAATATATTACTTTGCAGCAAAAAATAATCGCACTCAGTCGATCTCCATTCGCTTTGTACCTGTCGAAGTCGAGATTTAAAGCAAAAATGTCTGTTAATTTGCTATTTCGAAAGAGGCTCGAAAAAAAGACTCGCGGCTTGCACATAAAGGCTCGGGCTCGCAGGCTCGCACATTAGTTCCACTCGTTTTCTTTTGTATTGTAGTTATTTTTTTTAGATTAAATTGTGTCTTTTGTCGTTTTTGTGGCGTCAGCACAAAGGAATAAAGGATTTTAGATTTGATTTTGTAGCAACGCTATTCTTGAAAAAAGCACGACCCAATGTCACTATCTATTTCAAGAGCGTGTTATTTGCACTCTACAACACGCYTCTACGGTCCAGTAACCACACTAAATTAATCATAGTTTGCAATAATTTAGTTAACTTTAGGAAAATTTAGTAAAAATAGTGTTTTGTAAGTATTGCACGGATATATTGCTTGCACTCTAGCTGCGTCTTGTCTATATTGCTTGCGCTCTATATACCAGGGAGATATTTGGGTAAAGGCGATAAATGCGAATTTTTGTGAAAGAACGTTTTCTGGTTGAAGATTTTTACTGCTTGTCAATGAGCTTTAATTCAAAGACTCAATTTTTACTTGATGATTTATAAATTCCAATAAATATYGATTACCTGTCATTACCCATGTGAACAAGGACTATATCAACAAAGCTACCAGAAATATTGATTGTTGCACTTATWGCTGGAGCAAGTTCACCTGAAAAAAAAATACACAATATCAGTTATAATAATCAAAGACAACATCAGCTTCAAAAGCCATTAAATATTACACAGTCCTTTGTTAAACTGGCAAATTTGTTAGTATACAYTTGTATACTGCATCTACAATAAAGCATCAGTGATGTCAAACTGATACAGCACTGGCGAATAAAAAATCAGTGTTGCATCAGGATATACAAAGATAGTCCTGTRGTGATTGTACTAATAGCCTATGATTATCAATTGAACTCCCAAGGATTCAAAAAGGGACCAAGTTTAGATTTTGAGGCTTGAAAATACTTATTTACCAAACCATGTAGGATCACAACAATTATCAGACAATAATTGGTAAATAATTGTTACCTTCTGGAGATGGTAGTAAATGATGCTKTGATTTCACAAATGGATACCTTGAAAACAGTGTGGCCCTGAGAAAATKAATAAAATGTACTGGGACCATTGCTTTTGAAATTAGGTAAATATGAGGAATTGATAAACAAAAACTACAAAAACGAAGACTGAAACATTGCTTTTAATAACTTCATCAACTTCGCATTATTCATATTATAAAGATGAACCAAAATCCAATGGAAATCCAATGAAAACTGTTTTGGTCTATTATCTATGTCAGTACTACAGCTACTGTTCTCATGATCCTTGCCAGCTCAAAAACAGCTGAAAAAACCGACAGTGATAAGGACACGTTATWCACCTGGGGGAGGGACTCCCCTATATTCGCTATATGAGTATATGCTGCCAAACAGGTTATTGTTTTTCCTGTTGGTTACAACTTTACGGGATAAAAATTCCATCCACACGCAGCATAGTGCTGGATTTTACTCTGGAACAGGGTACTGTTTTCAGCAATTTTACTTCGGAACAGGGCCACTTGTAGGTCCCCCATGATAATTTTTGCAATTATTGTGCACTAGTCAATAGAATGACCCGCACTTAACTACCCACTACAGGGAATATGCAGATTTAGCAGGGACATAGCGAGGCAATGGACAGCGTTTAGGCCATCTAAATTGGCGCGCTATGCAGGGCTTCAGCCTCAATTAGGGATTTACTTTGAAAAACAACTGGGGAGGCAGGGCATATGATTTAACAAGAATCAAAAAGRCAACAGTCAAAAATGCAGAGACTAAGGATTCTTTTTGTTGGTGTGGAAGAGAAGATAAAGGAATGATCGCATTTGACAGTCCATTTTTTTCAATCATTTGGTTTCATGTAGAATGTGTGGGAATTGGTACTTAAAGGAAAGCGGTTCTGTAATGATTGTCAGAAATAGTGACTTTCTTGATATTGAACCAGTTTATAAATATTAATATCAATTTTACCTTTTCTTAGAGTGGTAAAGTTTAGTATCAGAAAAACAGTGCATGTTGGATTTCCTCCATATCTCTTGCAATATCCTTACGATAATTTAATCTATACACCATGATTAATTTTTTTTCAGGGAGATGAAAAAAGATTAAAGAGTAAAAATAAAAAATAAAACCATTGTTTATCAACTTTGAAATTCAGATGTATGATTGGATAAATTTGTTACAATGTCACTGCATCTTTGTCCTGGGGACGGAGAACAATGGTATGGATTTGACTCTCAAAATTGCCTCTCCTAGCAGGGTATACCGGGCCTTWAGTATAATATTAAACATTCCCTTAAGTCAAATGCTGTTCCAAATACTGTTCCCCAGGTAGTTGGGTGCAGGGCTTTCTACTAGAACGATTTCACATAAGCGTTTTTAACAAGACGAAATTCCGTGTTTGATACTCTGATCAAAACACGTGGAATGTAGGGAGAGCACGAGAGAAGCGTAGGAAACCACGACGCGTAGAGGAGTGGTTTCCAGCTTTTCGAGTGCTCTCCCTACATCCCAAGTGTTTTGATCAGAGTATCAAACACGGAATTYCGTCTTTTATTTCTTTTCTAAAATCAAAAGAAAAAAAGAAATTTTTGACGTGCGCGAGCGTGTTTTGATACTGTAATCAAACATGGTTTTCGACCAATCACAGCGCGCGTAGTATCCTAAATATTTTAGAAAGTATGTTAAAACATGCAAATTAGTTGTCACCTGAGATGAGATGTTACCTTGAAAAATTGAGTTATAAGCTGGCAACCCTCATTGCCACCTCGCAAGAAGACGAAAGACAGCTACAGAAGTAGCAAAAGAGGTCCAGGAGGCACACACAACCATATGCAAGAAAGGAATGATTGCAAAGCTGAAGACCGCGCATACCCAGCGAAGATTTTTGAAGATGTTTCTAATTTCCATGTCAAATACTCGAAAAACTAATTTGCATGTTTTTAAAAAAACGCTTATGTGAAATCGTTCTACTGACTAGTAAGTGCATTAATACTTAGAGATGGATGTCACAAAAATAAAATAATAAGGTGCATTACTAATTCTCACCCCCAAGTATGATCTCTTGTGGATGGTCCAAAGTCAGGATACATCTTTAGTCTTTCTTGAAACCACCCAGCCAAGTCATTATTACCCAGGTAAGGCTTGGAGGTATCACTTTCAAGAAATCCTACAATATCTGCATCTACAATTGTTATTAACATATGGTTAATGTCCTTTTGCAATATATCTTACTGGTTTGTCATGCCAATCCATTTTGCTTCAATCAATGTCATGAAATCCCATGCTTTGAAAACTGAATTTAATTATAAAATATCCGAGATGCAGCTGCATGTCTGAGCATATTTTCAAATCAGGCTTGTTAATATGTTGAAATTCAAAATTACAAAGATTATCTAACCAACAACAAAAACCATTGATGTTGGAATTCTGGATATTATTCATTATTATTCAAGAACACATGATCCTGATATTTGTKCTTGTGTTCAGCAGTTTTTGTCACACAGTAGAGGACCTTATTAATATCTAGAGTGTACATGTATACTAAAAAGTACCTGTATCTTCAATGACTTGTGCTGCCCTTTCAAAGCTTGGCCAACCCTTGTTATCATATCCAAAATGAATTGTCCATATCATTGCAGAAAACACATGCTGATCTTTCTAAAGGACAGAGAAGAATATCATATCATACTATTATAGAAAATACGATCCCTGACTTTGGGTAGACTTGTGCTGTACTTAGTCTTACTATTTGCTCTCAAGCAATGACTAGTTATAATAACCATTCTTCTGACGAAGTACCAATTTTTGTAATTTAATGGTCACTGGCTGTTAATTTCATCACCACYTGAGAGTAAACAGCAAGAGGCCAGAGGCTTGTTGTCAACAAAATTTGTAGGTAGTGAAAATACCTCAGACCATATAATTGTTTGCATCCAGCCTAACATTTTTCTCACTTTACTTTTTCACAATAAAAAAAGCCATGCTTTTGCATCGAAGTGAGACCACCATTGAGCATACTGCGATCGACAGTCGTCTTGCTTTGATACAAATGCACAGCTACCTTTCAAGGTGGCGCAGGGAACTGTAAAGACTATTCTCTCCTTAGCCCCCTGTCATAAATGTTGGCTCTTGTTTGAGATGGTTTTGTACTAAGCTAACATGCTCAATGACAATACAGAATATAATAGGAGACTAAATTGATGAGATGAAATTGTCTGCTGGTGCTGCTTAAAATAAGGAAATTCACTTGAATGGTCACACCATTTTGGAAACAATTGTAGGTTGAATTACTTACTAGCAGAACTTTCAAAACTAGTTAGTAAAGAGTTAGTAAGAAAGCAGCAATTCAAATTTTTAAGATAGCTATTATAATAGCTTTTACATGAACTCGGTATGAAGTTTGACTATTTTGAGAGCTATTTTTATCAATCTAGGATTTGTCACGCAAAGGCCCAGTATTTAGTATTTAGGCCCAGTGACATTGTTTAGCGATTTTCTTGCGAAAAATGAAATATTTTCAAAAACAAATTACACACTCAGCGATTGTAACCTAATCATACCTTATCAATACACAAAATATGAATAGATTTGATTTTTCGAGCCTTGCCAAAAAATTTCAGTTTTTACAAACTATTAAAATAATGCAACACTATAAAWAGTTTGAATTACACACAATTTGTGAATTAACCTCAGCTTTTATAATAGGTTACCTTTGCAGGGGAAGGATACTKCAGATGGCTGTACCTTAAAAACATTATGATACCAACAGCAAGCACAAAGAAAGACAATGCTGAAAAACATATTTTGTTATCATTTTTAGAAAGCCCATTTTAACAGATATCAACTAAACATTGAGAAATACTGTTTGGTTCATACTTCAGACAATCGGCTGCATTCTAAGAATTTTTAAACAAATGTGACTGTGAAATGATAAGTTTCTACCATTTCATTAATTCCCTTTCCTCACATAATTTGCAAAAAAATAAATAAACAAATAAACAAATAAACAAATAAATAAACAAATAAACAAATAAATAAATAAATATGTCTGATTCTTTTAAAAAAGCCACTTGCCATCAGATGAAGTTTCAACAAATGAATGGACACTTGTGCAGCACAAAGATACTGGTTTTGTGGTAATGTGCTAATAAGCAGCAACATTAGACACATGCACAGAAGAAATATGACAATATGACTTTAGAAACCTGTTTCATGTACTGTAAATCTTAATACCTGGCTTTACATGAGTATTAAAGAATGCAAACTGATTTCCCATTACATCAGGGAACGAAACTCTATTGGCTTGCAATAGCTTCTCCACTGGTTTCTCCTCTGTGGGTGTGTCCTGTTTTTTTGATCTCCYATACACCTCCATTGGCAATGGAGGACACTTTACAATCAAACCAAGCCCTATAAGTAAAAACAAATCATTGGAATA